AGTCCATAGGTACAGTCTGATAGTTGGAGCGTGGAGCGAGTCGAGTCGTCGGAGGCATGCTGTTCGAAAAATGACGTCACGATTACGACCGGTAGGGGTCTCCAGATCTCGAAATGTGTTACCATCGCGCAAGCACGCTAGAGATCGCGAGAATTTCATGATTTAATTCGTGATTTTGCGTGACACAGCTCTGCTGCGAAGTGAGACATGATATTTCTACAACAAGTAAGCACTGTACTTCAATTAGGAGCAAAGATGGAGTCGTAAGGTTGAGTATTTCTGTTGTAATCGTGTGTAATCAAGCGAGCGTCGAGCGAATTCCTGGCGCACGCTTTCATACCTGCTCTTATATTATGTGTTAGTGTACGCGCAATGGCGGCGCCGTGTGTTTACAGTTGATATGCTTCAAGTGCCTGTGGTTGAACGCGCGCCGTACCCGTAGCCACTGCCTTTTTATTATGCTACACGCATTTTTACTAATCACTCATTACGTAATCCTGATTTTCCACGAAAATACACAGCAAGATACACTTACTTTTTAGATCTTTTAGCTCCGGTATGTCTGTCTTTGAGGTTATCGCAGCCACGGCAAAAAACATCGTGGTTTTCGATTAGATGCTCTAAGAATTCGCCATTGTGAGAGATACCAGCTATTTCCTTGAGCTGCTCCCATTTTCTTATATCTCTTACGTCTAATCTTATACGCAGTTGGATCCGCCGGCCCTTTTTCCGTGTCGCCGACATTTGGGCTAATGATCGAGTTGCACATCCATGTTTACAAAAGTATCTCCAACAACAAGTGCGAGTGCGAGTCCGGCAATCATCATCGTCTCATTGGCGGCAAGTCTCTGGTAGGCTGATAGCGGTTGCGATGCGATCAATGAACGCACTGTACATTGTATACTGCGCGTGCGCCGGAGGTCGTGAAACATGTGGCTGCTTGAAACAGAAACGCCGCGTGAATGTCGTGGTCTCTTGCTATACGCTTCCCCTTTAAAAACGTTTGCTATACTTATTATCGGACTGGGTAGCCATAGATCATGGTCACACCAATTTATTTCCATTATATAGTGATCGTTAGTTATATCGTATCGTATAGTTACAGTTAGACGGGGTAAATATATATGAACCGGATGAACTTGTTCGTTTATAAAATACGTATATGCAATTTCTGCAGGCGCGGCGCCGGGCGAGCATGCGAGTAGTGTGCGCCACATAAACCATGCATCCCGTAAAACGTGCGTGATGCCTGCCGTGTGAATATGAGCCGTACTACCTATAACATTCGCCCAGCCAGTGTAGGTGACTGCGATGAAATATGCCGACTTATTAAGGTACGATCTTACGAGTTACTGTTATTACAATGTGCGCGCATATACTGTTACACAATTTATATACAGTGTATATTTGCTAGACAGGATCATATGTGTTTGTATAATTATATCTATGGCATCATTAGCATGATACACCGCTAATCGGCCAATCCGTGTGAACCGGCTTAGTCGTGGGTTCGGGTTAAACCTACTTTGGGACACTGTGGCTTCCGGGAAATAAGGGAGTCAGGGAACACAGCTAGAGTTCAGGGTCCGGCACGTATTATAATGAAACCTGGACGTTATACGTACAAATTTGATCAAGGTAACTATAATATGTGCCGTATGTACCCTGAAATCTATAGCTGTGTTCCCTGAATCCAATTATTTCCCGAAACCGTGTGGGCGCGCGCGCGCGTGCGTGCGTGCGTGCGTGCGTGCGTGCGTGTGTGTGTGTGGGTGGTGTGTGTGTGTGTGTGTGTGTGTGTGTGTGTGTGTGTGTGTGTGTGGTGGTGGTGGTGTGTGTGTGTCGTGTGTGTGTAGTAATAA